TTACGTGACCAGGGCACTATAACTAATATCCTTGGTAGTCCAATTATCTTACCCGAGGATCTCGTTTTGTTATGCACAGAAAACACTTCTTTTGAATCTGTGTGCATTCAACTTTAAGTAAATGCTGAATGGCCCATGCCTCCAAATGGTGAAGGTAGTTTGGAAGTCTAACATCTAGCGGCGTCCGTCCTTTAACTGCTTTGAGGAAGATAAAGCTTCTTTCGTTTGTATAACACAGCTACCTCGAGTTGATTAGGCTCATGAAATACGCCGTATTGTTCATAATCACCCCACAGTAACGTTCAAAACTGGCTTCCCTTCCGTGCTGTAAATGGCCTAGCTCGTACTTTGAACAGCTGGTAACAAAAAACATCTGAGGTGATCCAGAAGCATTGATTTCTCACGTTCAACCGTTTTGTTGCGAAGGCTGCTAAAAATCTTTTGAATGTTTCGTACGCTCAAGTCAATTTTGCCACTCACTGTTGCTGAGGTCAACCTTTTAGCAACGCAAGTTGTTACGTAAACCAGGAAATAGTTACCTCTATGGTAAACCTATCTGCACTTCTACTGCAGATTCTGAAAATTAAACCATTACCGCATGAATCTACTGCGGCTAAGCATAATGAGTTTCCTCTTCTGAACGAATGTCTCATCTCATTCTGTTGAAAAATGTGCCGATCGAACTGTAGTTTCATCCAGCGTGTCCACGCAGCACAAGATAAAGTACTAGATTTTTTCTACTGTAACGGATGCTTTCAATTGGATGAATTAACAATCCACGAACAATTCACTATCATTCAATCGGTTCCTTTTTCCCGTCTCAAGCGTACACCTGCTCCTGATTCCAAATTCTGCGCCTAAAAGGGGCCTAAAACTACCAACTCCAAACATTTCATCTGCTCTGCATTCCTTAGATTTTTAACTTCCACTGACCGGTACTTATTAGATTAGACAGTAGTAAACGAAGGGTTATAGTTCGGCGGGATTGACTGACCCATCCAGCGGGCCGGGTGAAGGCAGAGTCGCATAACACGCATCGTTTATGTGCTATTCCTAGCTCCGATACTATTTTTATCAGATCATTAAACATCATGGCACTGTAGACATTGTGCAGTCAGCAAAAAGTGTGATGTCCTAGCTAGTTGGAACGTGACATTTCTAGCAATTTGCGTCTCAAAGACGTCATACGAATCAAAATCGGATTTGTTGCTCTTAATAGGAAAAGAGGATGTGATAATTTGTATTTTACGGGTTGGAAAACCGATCTTTGAAATTTGTGGATTCTACAATAAAGGGTAGTGGAGATTTTATCAAGCAGATGTAGACACAGTCAGCTTTCAATAGCTTTGTAGATGAGCCTGCTCTCGCGGACAATTTGTAAGCGGGAGCTTTAATAAAGCATATCCTGAATAAAAGAGTGTGCAACATGGCAGTGCATGTCTTTCTGGCGATGCGGGGCTGGCAAGTAGACACGAATCCCCATCTGCCATTGAGGAGGAGCCGGAGTGGATAATTCTCTTTTTTTGTGATCATTTTATCTTGAATGGGGAAGCAAGTATGCATACTGCAAACAAAAAGACAGTCCTCGTGCGGGGTCCGACCTTGCGACCTCCTGCTCCGGGGGTATTGAATTTATGAGTACCACCCAAGGACTCTGTCTGTTCGTTTGCATTTTGTGTTCATATTCAAAATTTCCGATGTCCTCTTCTATCCCAACTCTACTCGTTACTTGTAATACGGTGAGTAAGCATAGTATGCTTGGGGTTGTCGCAGCGTAGTACGTATTAACCATTTTAGGTGATACTTGGCTTTTGAGCCAAGTTTACCAGTGAAAACGCACTTACAAGTGCACGTCCTATCAGTTATACGTTCTGATGTATTCATCTTACCACAAATCCAGCGCGTTCAAACATGATGGTGCTTGGCCTGGTAAGCCTATGTTTCTTATGCAACCAATCCGGTCACCTTAATTTGATTAGCGCCAGGGTTAGAGAATACTGCGGTCTGTTTTCAACTGCAACAGCTTCAGATATTGAATTGGACTTGGAAGACCGCAACTTCCAGTTTGATGGTGGTGCTAACAGAAGAAGGCGACTTCTTCTGCAACTGATGTTCAGGTGATCGTGTTGGTGTATTCCAAGTGCTCTTCTGTACGTTCAGGCTTTTGAGTGAGTTTGATAGTAACCTGGCAGTAACTGGCGTATTACTGCTTTCAGACAAGTTCTCGACAGCTCCACCGAGGATTATTACGTAAACAAAAGGTAAAGATCTATGAGACCCATTCATGTAGGGTACAAAACCGTAAGATAACTCATCTACTTTGAGGGGAATCGAAGAAAGACTGGCAATCCTTTGAGCACTGAGTCCATTAGAAATAGTGAAAGATAATAATCAGTCAAATTTAGACTGTTCTCCCTGAGTAGCAAGGAATGACACCATAATCAGTGCTTGAAGAGCAAGTGGACGAGACAGAAACACATTACACTTCCATCGATTTAAAACCTCTTTCAGACTCTAGGTGTTTGCTTCGGTGGCCCAAGGATGACAACATAAACCAGCATGATTTGCTTTACCGTAACCATTGTCCAACAAATGATTAACTATTTATCTACCTTCTGGAGCATATTACTTACCAGTCAACGGCACCAGTTCATTGTCAACCTCCAAAGTTCAGTGCAACTGTTTGAGCACAGCGTCAGCGCAAGTGACGGGTCAAAAGGTCCTTACCTGTCCGACCCACAAGTATACTCTTCAAAGTGGAGCGAAATACCCTAAAATTTTCCACAAATTGCTCAGGCATAGCACATGTTCACGACATCGATATGGTGACATTGCATGATAAGTTACGGTGAACCAATTCTGTACATCGCATGTGAACTTCTACAACATTAGGATTTTCACTCCAGAGTAGAGTCCAAACTCGTTATTTGCCTGTACTATTTGAAGAAGGAATTTCGTTCAACCTTGACACCAATTTCGCTGCACAATATCATGTAACTCAATGATAGAAATATTGCCAGGTTGGCCGATCCTACACAGGAATATTCGAAAAGCCAGGGCCGAGTCCAAACTATGGACCTATCTTCACGATTTGCTCATCTGCTCATTGTTTTTGCGGACATCTTTATTCAAGTATTTAATCACCTATTGCCATTGTGCGGCTATAGACACGTTATTGGGGTGAAGATCGGTGACAATATTGGTATAATGATGAAAAATTTTCTGCCAACTACCATTACATTAAACAAACGTGTTCGTGTTGAAATCATATGACCTGCAGCCGTGCATATTTCCTCTACAGGAAATTATTGTCCGAAGCTTGGAGTCCGAGCTTGGGCTGAATTAGATAAAAACGCCTTTGTGACCAAATCAGTGAGCTTAACAAGACATAAATCGACAAACAACAACTGGACAACACGAGAGAAAAAGTGTGACCAAGCACGGCGTTTTCTTATACACAAAGAAAGATGTTTTCGAGACACTTTTAGGAGAAGCGAGGAAAACTTACAAAGAACTCGCAGATGGTTTGTTTATGTTCATTAAGCATCCTACCAATACCCTGTTATTGTGATATTACGCAATTTTTGACAGTGTATCGAAAGACTGTAGGTGTGAGTGCGTTCATTCCTCGTCGAGATGTTTACTGTGATGTGACCAGCAGGACAAGTGCCTGACTTGGCCAACAGATGACGAGCAAAAGTATTTTTCCATGAACAGATGCAAATGTCAACGACGTGACATCAGTCTGTCTGTCAAGGGCTAAGTTAACACTGTGGTAGCGCCATCCATACTGCATTATGGATCAGAAACGTAGCCTCTATGCGCACAGGACATAAGAAACCTGTCAGTGTTTGACCATCGGTGTCTCCGAAGCGCTGGTGGAGTCTGGTTGGGACAGGATTACTAATTCTGGAGCACGCCAGATCGTTTCATGAAAAAGGGACTGTTCTACGATAGATGAATTACCCAAACTTCTTAGGCTACGCTGGTTAGGGTGTGCCGGAAGAAGTGCTTTGCCTCGCAGAGCACTTTCCGCCCAGCTTTGCGGTGGGCCGGTGAACAGCGTGTGATTTGACAACGAGGTATGAAAACACTAACCAATAAACTGAGACGGGTCGACAACAACCGCCTCCCCAGATGGGGACCCCCGGACTCAACTCACCAATGGCCAATGGCACTGGCAGAAATGACCAGTCGCACAGCCAGTGCTATTCAGGCCTCAAAGCTATCATTTCAGTGCATAGCCATCCCGTTCCTGGACTAACTGAACATACCATCGCCTCCTATACTTGGCTGTCTCCCTGTTCTCTCACTTTTGGGTTAGTGAAATTGCAGAAGCTGAAGCCAGCGATCCCATGATACATGCTTTATAGCTGAAAAAATGCTCAAACTGAAGGGACAGATGTGTGCCATTCAGAACATGAAGTGGCGAATATTTATACGTTGACCATGTTACTTTGGGTTGGTTTTTTGTGGAACTATTTAGTGATTGAACTCCACAGGGCTTATTAAGTATTATATGAGTCAAAAAGGGTTATACATGGTTCCTTACAAAGTGTATTAGTATAAATACAGAAACTGACTGAGTAAATAAAACCAAACAAAAAATCTGTCCTTGCCACAAAGTAGATCCTTTAAATAACAATTTTTGCGCCCTTAGGAGGGAAGCAATATTAGTACGTTTCACTTTGTCAAAAGGTTTGCGCAAAGCGACTATTATTCTCTAGACTGAGAGTTATCAGATGAATTGTAACTTCACTTCTTTCGATAAAGTTAGCTCAAATCCAAAATCTATTCGTAAGGTGACTGCTAGTGAATACTTATCTGCACAACTTTCACGTCAATCGTCTGGTTTTTCCGATGCCTGTAACATTTTGTACACCAGCACAGAGGTTTCCACAGGTCATTAAACCTGGACGCTTTTCAAGGAAAGTCCCTTTTAACCTTATCTACTCGTTCTCCATATTTTTACGCCACCGTTTGTTTATCTTTCCCATCAGATCCAGACTTCTAGTTCGAAAGGTTCACAGCTTCACGCGGCTTCCTCGAATGGCTGGTGTAAACCATCTATCCTTTACTACACGATCTAGCAAAACCTACTACTGCACGAACAACCGCAGCGTTCTGGGAAATGAGCAAGAATTTTCAAAATCGCTGGTTGTCGGTTTGCAAAATTCTCTGTGGTGGACGGATTTTAATTCATATATGAAAACATCCCCATGGTTTTGCCCAACAACCATCCTTGTTTCGGACAACGAGGACCAGGACACGCAAAATCCTGCCCTAATTTTGGAAAACAATGAGTTTACGGAGTCTTCGGCTGTGAGGAAACGACCATCAAATTGGGATGAGTTTGAAGCAAGTCGTGTGTCCAAAATTAGGCGAAAAAAGAAGAACCCGGTTCGCCAATGGACGACGGCGCAACTAATGGGTGATTACTGGTCCGAGAGTGAAGCACATTTTGACTGGTCGGCTTCAGAAGATGAAACTGACATATGTATTTCCAGACTAGACAACATGAGTCTGCATAAAATCGCGCAAACGTCCCAGTCTGTGATAACCAAGGAATGTGTTCCTGAAGATATCCAGGCCTTCAACCAGACTGCATTTGGTGGTTCATCACAGACGAATAGTATCAACGAGCTTGGTGTTCCTGCAGACAGCTGCCAAAAAGGTGTGAACCCACTGAAAGAGATTAGCTGCACGAAGGTCTTTCCGGAATACTTGAACTGTGAACTCCGTTGCCTGCGTGAATTTGTTGTCGGCTCATCATTCAACTATTTTATTTTTCATTTGGCAAATTATGCCATCGGTTGTCTGAACGAGCTAATTCATCCGCCCGTAAAACTCACTCCTGGAACCCTCAATCTGACTGGCGAGTACCGTTCAAAGTTGATTTACAAGCCTGATCAACTGTGGTCCCCGACAGAAACCTCCACCGTGATGCAGGGCTGGTCTGACGAAACAGTAAAGTCAGTCATAATAATGTAAGTCTTTGTGCCCCTTCTATCATTCATAATAGGCGTCATGTGCGCCTCCTTATTCTACACGATACTAGCCTAAATAAGTACTATAAGTTTACCGTACCGTACTCTGAACCACACCACATGTATCTGCCCCATTAAGCCCTAACGATGATTTCGTTGGTGGAAAGCAATTTATTGTTCAATGCTTTCCAGGGCTTAAGAAACAAGCCACTAGATCAGAGTCCCTTCAGGCCGAAACAACCTCCTGATTATCACAGTGGAATCGTGCACTGGACCCGTTGTTGCCACGAACAGGTTTGAACTAATGAGAGCACGATAAAGGTCTCAGGGTCGTTTGTTGCCCAACTAATGAAATAAGGTTGGCTCATCAAGCAGTCTCATGGAGATAGATAAGATATTGACTATTTCGGGTCTCAACTATCCTGCAATCGTGATAACTTAAATGTTTTCCAAAAGTAAATATCCCGAAGAGGTAAGAGTGCTCTGTCAGGAATGTTTGATGGGTCATTGTATCACCAAATTATGATGTGACCAAATTAGTGAGAGCACTGACACTTGCCTTATTCGGTACACCTTACTGGCCAAATTTTCGGAGGAATTGGATATCTTAGGAGGAAACTTCCTCTAGTATTTTTGTCGCAGTTATGGTCAGATTGATCTTTCAGCTGTCCTAATTTTGAACTTGTCAGTCTTGTTTCGAGAGGACATTCACTATCTAAAGTTTTGAACGCTGTAAAGTAAGCTTGTTGGACCAAACGTTCCTCTTGACCGATGCGTGGCCGTTTAGGGAATAACTGAAGGGGTATTTATTGAACTCTTGGCTAGTTACAACAAAATGTTGTTTCGTACGATCTATTGTTTCGTTCGGAGGGTTTCCACCTAACTTTGTAACTATTTATGTTATATAGCATTTCAATATGCATATTACGAAAGCTATGGCGGGATGATCGAATTCACAAGCAAGGCGATTGAAATATGTATGGACATGTGTCGATGGCAAAGGATACACACAAGTAACTTCTCAGATCTTACACTCACCCTACAACGAATTCACGTTTGTGATCCAAATGTAACATCTGAAGATGCAGCCTGCTTTTTTGAAAGTTTTTTGGCAAGAGATGTGCTGTCCAATAAGTTGAATTTCCGGTTACGCCTCAGGTTCTGGACTAGTGTTTTACCCAGCGACTGCGGTTCGTCATCGGTTTTAGGGGCAAAATGTTCAGTTCCACTCTGCTGGAACAAAGATTTTATTGGTGCTACAACGATTGAGGACACATAATGTCATTATTTTGCCAGAACGCACAGTTGCCTGGGGGTGCGGTGATACGGTTCGCTCTTGTCATGGTTTGTCATTATCTGTCATTATTCCCACATTTAGAAATAACTGAAGTCAAAGCCTTCAGAAATCATGACGGAATCAATCTGATTACCTTACCCTACTCGACTGTACTGTATTGATCGACCGGAGGAAGCAAGTGATAGCTGTGAGCATTAGGCAAATGAACTGGAAAAATTCATCCCCAACGCAATCATTGGTGAACAGGGTAACAAAATCGTCTTCAAAATCCCGATATTTTACGGCTTCATAACTATTCTGAGAAGTTGGCCGGATAACGGACAACAATTGATTCTGTCCATATATATAACCCTAGGTCTCATCACCGAACACAAACATGTCCTCATGTTGACAGGGTTGTTAGCATGTCCTGTGAACAGGTTAATCGGGAGGATTTCTGGTTCTAGAAATAAAAATCAGGGAGACTAAATTTAATCTCTCGGTTAGGGTATTCTACAACTGAATGTGCTGCACACAGGCCGCCTTATGATTCAGTTGGCACGATATTCGAGATATCGCAGTATATTTTCATACAGGAAACTACTCACAAGGTTGCTGAAAACTCTTCAACAGCCCATGACCTGTTTCCCCCTTCTTGGAACTCTCATAAACGAGAAATTCGGTTGAGTCTCTCGTAAAAACCAAATTGATTTGCAAATGAGTGCATTTATCGAAAACGGTCCAATTGGGGTTCAAGTAGAACATAAGGTTGACGGAAACTCGGGGACTGCGCCTACCTGATGAGCCCCGAGAAGGCCGGAACCGGTCGTGGGCTGTCAAAGAGTTCTCAACAACCTTGTGAATAGTTTCCTTTGTGAAAAATTAAGGGGGCTTTTTGGATGGTGGCTCGAAATGACTCAGTGGTAAATATGCGAAGCCATTGATCAGAAGGACTGTGATTCGAACCAGAGCTCATCATCTCTTCTGATCCTCTCTGGGCTTGAGCGACTCGGCAGTATTTCCGCCCCCGTGCTTCCGTCTGATGGCATATCAGCTAGGCATCGAAAAAATGCTACAGCTGGACGGTTGGTAAGCCATGAGCATAACTGACGCGTTTTCGGCTCCTTATTGCCTAAGAAGCAAAATTTTCCCAGTCAGGAGTTTCCAAAGATAGGCTCGTTCTAGAAGGAAAGTTTTTTATGTCGAGTATCTACACATGGGTGCTTCATTTTGGAGTGTCAACTATGCTGCTGTCCAATTTCAAAACAATTTCCCCCATCTGTTAGAGCTTTCATACAGTTTGACTCCCTAACACGTTCAAATTTTCTGCTTTTAGGTTCCTCTTGTCCCAACTGTCCTCAGTAACCTCAAAATTACGATGGATTATTGAGGAAATAATTCGTCCGGTAAATTCTGGAAGCAACACAGACCTCGTCAAGCATCCATCCAAAAAATTCATGTCTTCGGATATTTGTGAGATGCGGATAGAGCAAGTAGTCAACCAACCAATAAAAGAACAAGTTCAAGAGATGACAATTCCGCACGTCTGGGGCAGCAGGCCTTACGTGACTTGCAAGATGCCTAGGTTAAAAGAACAAAAATGCATTTGCTCTATACCAGATCCTCTGCTGTCAGAAGACCTACGCAAAATCAATGTTACTCTGAGTCCCAGAGTAAGAAGATCTTATGCTGATATCACAGTAGACCTTAGAATGCGGCATCCCGATGAATGGGAGATTTTTACACAGGCTTCTGAGACCATCTTTCCAGAATGGCAACCAGCAAGCTGCATGACTTTGATTCCTTGGAAAAAAGAGTCTCTCAACGTGTCGACCTTGGAGTTTCGAAGGGCAAGAGTTATGTGCTTCAGTGATAATCTAAAACCACGGACTTACTATGCTACTCAGGAAAGGTTGACGATGAATCCAGCCCGAAATATAAAGCATAGCATTACTGACAGCTGGAGAACTGCCTTATTGGTAACTGCTGTAAATATGAGTTCGTTCTTTCTGGATTCAATGCTAGTGATAGCCAAGATGGCAGACCCAAATCCTGAGAGTAGCAAAGGTACTGAATCTCTAAGCATTCAGATTCCCTTCACAGTGTATCAATACCTTGACCAGAAAAAGCAAATTAATTCAATTTTGTCAAGCATTTTAAACAAGACTGGATTATGCGATAGTTTCTTTAGTAACAAGCTAAACGGAAAATTTATCAAGACTGCTTCAGAAAAAAGCCCTCGAGCGAAGATGCAGTTTTTCAAGGAAATGGAAGCCTCCGGATTTTGTTCTTTTGGAGTGAAGTGGGACACAGTTCTTGGGTTGAAGAACGATCAGAAGTGGAAAGCCACTGAACAGGATACACTGAAACCCATTGGCCCAAAAGGGTAAGTTTGGTGCATGATGGCTTTCGTCGATATTTTGGAATTTCCTGCATAAGCCCAGGGAGATCCGCTTGCTTTGTAAGGCATTTACCATGTGACCACAATTTGCTTATGAAAAATACGTTCGGTTGAAGTTTTTATACGGCTGTTGTTCACGAAAGCACGTGTTGCGAACTTTTTCATGTGACTCAGTCTACAGGGGCTTCGGCTTGAAACGAACCAGCACTCACGTTTTGTCAACAGGGAGCATACGTTAGGAAGACCTGCGGTGTTCGCAAAATCGTGTCACAGATTTGTAATCATAGAATAGTGTACGTAAATCATTTTTGAAGTCCGTTACAGTCGCACACATGGTGTGCTCATTAACATTTGTTATTTGTGAACACAGCCAACATAAATCCAGTTTAGTCGGATCTAATAAAGCACACTTGCATTTGTCGCTGACTGAGTCCATTCTAGGTGTTTCCAGACTCATCCAATAAGTATGGATCAGGCCATTCTTCAATGGACTTAACTCAGTCCACAACACAAGTTTGCACTCAGTGAAAGACTTGGTCGCAAAGTTAGTGGATATCTTGTCGATTCTATCAGCATCAGTTTGCCATATTTTAATCGATTGAATCTTGACAGTGACTACATTTAGCAAAAGAGTGCACACTGACAAAAGCGAACTATTTCGATGAGACCGCTATGAGATTCCTTCGTACATTTCCGGGCACATTAAACCTGACTTACTTGCTTCAAAAGTTGGAAAGGATATTGTTGTTTTGATGTGGAAGTTTTTTCTTACCCGTACAAAGTTCTTGATCCTAAATCAGTCGTAACAATATCTACATGACAGTTATAGCCTCACCTTATACGCTTTCTGTTTTCCTCATAAGAAATCACTATTTTGGCTCTGACAGTTCCGTAAGCACCAAAACCGACCGGGATGATCCTGATCTTACCACATGGACCTTCCTGAATGAAGAAGCGTTTTGTGAATTAGAAGGGGACCTTTTGGACGACTGGGTGCTGGTGGACGAGGAACTATAAAATTATCGAGCATCGGCACCACAGAAACAGCTCACACTGATTTGGACTAAAATGTCATACTTTGAATATTATGCTGAAACAAAATGCACACAAAATGTCGCAATGCATGCCATCTTGACATACCTTATTTTACCTATCTTCAGAAATTATCAAGATTCGACTGCATACATTTCGCCAATTTCCATACTGCCCATCTTTTGTTTCTGAACACAGTATTTTTCAGCTTACTTTAATTTTAGTTGTTATTGAACAGTAATCTCACAGGATCCTGTTGTAACAATATTTCTACGAAAATTCGTTAATTTTTACCTTCAAGCTGGGGACATTATGTCAAGAGGCATAACAAATGCAAAAAGATCGTAGTTCTCTTTGAACATGCAGAACAGTTTCTGTTTGGTAATCTGTTAGTTTAGGTTGATTCAGTGCAAAAGCTGCGGTCTTGAGTCTTTGACTGTGTAATAGCACACACATGGTATTCGGTAACCTCAGTGGTTGGCGCCAATGAATCAACTTAGGTCTGGAACTTTGCGTGTTTGTAAATGGTACTAGCAGACGCTTTTAGTTCCTCAGCCAAAGAGTACACTGCTCGGCTGGAAATTATCACCTCTAAAATATCAATTTTTCATTCGACGAAGGTAGAGGAAGTTATATCTCTCTTCAGAAAAAAACACACAAAAGAAGAGGTTAAGTCTAAAATATCCCATAAAATAGGACTTTTTTAGAACTCAAGCCGTTTGTGTACAATTCAACACCACCTAATTTCTCCGCAATACAGATGGCAGATGACTTGTTTATACTGGTATGAAATTTACTCTTCAGCTGACTGATATCTAAGTCCTAATCGCTCCACATCTACGTTGCCACACACAAACGATAAGCTAAACCCAAATCAGATTCAGTCTGCTACGGGTCTTTACTGTAAACATGAATCGTGGCCCAGCCTCAATTGTAGCTACATCATCAACTCTGCCATCCTCAGCCTCCCAAAAGTATTGAAAAATATACACTTTTTAGCAGGTTCAAATATCAATTTCCAGCTCTATAATCCGTAGATTGGTGTGTTTACAATGTCGGATTCAGCCGCAGTGTAAGATACGCATTTCTAATCGATCACTGCGGATAACTGAACGAAGTCTGGCATTCCAAATGAATTCACCAGATGAAATCAATTGAATTTTCTAAAGGCAGAGTATAGTTGGTACCATTGTGGCGAATGTTGATGGCTCAGGTAGCATAGATGATCCTTAGTTCGTTTGCCGAACTAGGAAATTTGTTTGCAAATGATTTAATAATTAACCTACGCATCTCTATGAAGCGTAGCGTAGCGATGCATTGAAGCAGGCGTCGTCATAAAACCCCCGAAAGCAGGCAAGTGTGATTGTAGATCGCCCATTCCTTACCGAATGAACCTTTCTTGGGAGCATCGACAACCATAAACCGAGCGGAAGCACGTCACCACTGTTATTTCACTCTGTTCAAAACCGCTATTACGTCATCAAATGGATACAATCCACTAATCGTGCGGGTAGTTGATGAAGGTCCTAACCTCATTCCGTACAAATGGAAGGTGCAAATAGTTTGTTCAAGAGGCATGAAGACTCGGTAAATGATTTTCCGACGACCACACAGCTTCACACACGTGTCAAATCTGTACTAGCATCATGTGATTTCACGCGTGATTTTAATATGTTCAAAAAGATCAAGCTTATGTGGCTTAGTGAGTCGAACGTGGTCAGTCGGTAGCTGGTGAGTTGAGGTTGTCAGACAGTATACCATCAGCACAGCATCATTCACAGTAAGGTGGGACTAAATCTATACTTCCAAGAAATTTCAAGGAAGCAGGTTCTATCGCACGTAGTCTGGCCAGCTACAATAAGCAAATGCAGAACGAAGGTCAGTGCCGCCGAGAAGGCAGAACTAATCCACGCGTTAGAAAGTGTCTGAGGGAACATTTGTGAGTAACCACAGTAATGGGATATATGGGCAGTTGATAGGGATGTTCGCACCCGAGATCAGGCTATTCGGCCCCCAAATTAAGTCACAATTACAGCAATGTTCCTGATTCGTACTTCATTTAGTTGGCCGCAAACGATCCATCAGCCAACTCTCACCCCTTTGAGCAGTCGAAAAATTAGGCAGTCACACAAAATTTATTTAAACTTTCAAACTGCTCGCATGCATCTGCCAATGCTTGCTGATCAGTCTGAGTTGTCTCACACACAAGTTTACTTGCGTTGCTAAGACGTCAGACTGCGTTACATCACAATATGCTCATAGTAGCCTACTGAGATACTGAGATAAAAAACCGGAATGGTTTGTCAGAGTTTGAAATAAAAAGGAATAGTTTTCAAATGGCCGTTTTAGAGCCATTTTTGAACGGATTTGGATCAGGAAGTCACAACTTCAGCAATCTTTCTCCATCACCAGTCTGCTGAGCTGGCGGAAAAACATTTTTATGGAGCTTTTTCTTGGTGATCACTGTTTCGGCTCTATGCTCAATAAAAACGACCGTGAACTGGTTGTAATTCAGGCGTGTTTTTATTTAGCTTGCGAACGTTCATCATCGGTGTCCAAATAGTTCATCCGATAATTGATTGGCGAGTAAACTCCCCAGTTGTGAGTAGCTCAACTTGTTACCAATGCTGTAAAACTTCTAAAAGTTTTCCTCATTTCACACCAAATTTAGGAAACGAACTTACTTCTTTCCAATCGCCACAACCCACCGCTCGTATCCTAGGCCTTGGTGCGGGAAATGGCTTACCAGCTCTGGAAAAGGCGTCTTTCCCCAGTGACATCCTCGCATGGGGACTTATAAGTTCATGGACTGTCTGCATCGGATTCTGATTTACAATACAGTTGACCAGATTCATCTTGAATAGAAAAAACCACCGTATTAAAGAAATGCGGGAACTCCTCTACACGGCCCTATGCCTCCGAAAGACAAGGCCACTCATGTGCTGTCCGACACTATTGTGTTTCGGGGACGGACGGTACTAGGATAAGCCACCAACTCCATACAACTGAGGTTGGAACAACTCGCACTTGACTACGAATGCAAGCTGACAATCATTCTGACCCCGCAACCATAAGAACACTTGCTTGACACTACATGACTGAACATCTTTGCTTTCTGCAGTCTAATCAGGTCAGGCGCTTCGTGGCCTTCTACAAGGTCCCCTACGTTCTGTCCCACATCCGGAACGCTGCAGAAGCCTCCGAGTGTAGTATCCTGGAAATCCCAAACTACTATCTTGACATTATCGGGAATGAGACCCCGCACACTGACATTTCTAACCAGCCTCAAACTGTCACTACCAGTGCCGCAGTTGAGAGAACATCCCCATCTTCTCAGTAATGCGGCACCTAGTCCTGCACGAATTCTCAGTATCCCGGGCTTATCTCTTATCCGAATTTCCCATACTCTGGAGGGGACTCGTGCCCTAAAGCAACAGACACTTGCCGTTCGGCTCCATATCCCACACCTCGTCCTCATAACATTGAGCTATCATTTGCCTTTAATCACGGAAACCCTGCACAGTTGCTTTGACCACATAGACTGCCTCGACCACATCAAGAAGAGGCCAAGTTGGTGCTACAACAAAGCGGTATCTTTGAGGGAAGCGCAATACATGAAATTCAAGAAGGCAAATGAACTCGGAACCGGTTTCTGTACGGTTCTATTAATAAAAAACAACTTCACAAATTGAGACTCACAATGGCAAATAATTTCCAAGAAGAAATGGTCAAGTTTGAGTATAAGAGTGCAAACCAAATTAGCAAAACCTGCTGGCACGTGAGACAGCCAAGCTTGCGTATGGTAGGCCACAAAATGGCTGAATGACCTAAAGGTCAAATGAATGAATTAGATGGAATGGATTAACGGACTCACGGATCCGCGGACTGATGCACAATATCGAGGCTTTCGCGAAGCATCTGGCGGCTTTTGTTCATCTGACAGACACAAGTAAATAAATCTTGTGACACCATCGTTTGGTCTCTCAATGCGGTAGAGTGAGACTGTCAGTGCAATAACTCACTTAAAAAAGCGTCCAAAAGTGCTCTGGCCCGGGCGCTAGATAAAGCGTGAAAAATTGCCAGAGAAAAGCTATTCCACGCACAAACCACACGAAGTGAGAAAAAATACTGCCTGATTGAAATGTGCGCTTTGAAATTGAAAATCTTATCATGTCGACGCCGTATATTAGTTTCGTCAACGGTGGAAAACCGCTCAGTCAAAACTTGTTGGAACAAAGCATAAGTGAGTATGTGTCAGGTCTCTCTGCTGGCGACGATGCTCCAGGGGAAAGAAGTCAAGCACCGCGAGGCTCGTTTCATAATCAACGGATGCTGGATCGGCAACCACATTCGTAGCAGCTCTTTGAACACGCTCAACGAGAGTCATGACTTTCTGGCGTAATTAGTAAACCATTTGTTTGCAAATTCAGGAAGCGGTCTGACGTATGCCCCATAGAGCATCTAGAAGTCCGTGTAAGCGATACCGGGGAAGGTGAACCGAATCACCCGCAGAACTGCGTAATTAGTAACCATTTGTTTGCAAATTCAGGAAGCGGTCTGACGTATGCCCCATAGAGCATCTAGAAGTCCGTGTAAGCGATACCGGGGAAGGTGAACCGAATCACCCGCAGAACTGTGGGTGCCTTTTGAGCCGATTTTTAACCCTGAAGTAAGAAGAACAATTCTGAAGAGAGCCAGATAACTAAATCCCCTTTGGTGTCTATCTTCGTAATGTCTACTGATCCAATCTCTCCAGGCACGATAAAAAGTTTGTTGCGTCACTTCCGAATGAAAGGACGCACTTTTCTTAATTTGGAAGATGTCAGTCCAGCGACCACTGCTCTGCAGCATCTACATATATCGAGTGGGTTCTGGCGTTGAAACTTTAGGATTGCAGGTTATCCGCAAGAAGTAGACATGGACTTGAAAGCACATCTGTAAGATCGCTGATGTAGATCAGAAACAGAAGTGGCACCGAAACGGAACCTTGAAGACTTCGAATGGGACCGGCGCGAAAAAGTATGGGTCGAGCCTGTTTTCATTTGGAATGTTCTATATGATAGGACGGCTTAAATTCACCATAAACTTTTTCCTGGATTCCTATCATACCTGAGTTGGTAGAGGTCGGGACGCGTAAGATTCCATCAAATGCTTTTGAGAAGTTGAAAAAATGTGGC